ATTGCTATATAAAGTTTTGAGACTTCAATATTTTAATTAAAAACGTTTTGAAATGAATGGCTACAGAATCGATTTTAAATACATATATATTGATACGTGATAGAGCTTGCATTTGATTTTTGGGATCAGAAATCCTCAGAAAACTTATATTTTGTCCCCTAAGGATGCCAAAATGACAAAAGCCCAACAAACGCCCAGGAGGGGGGCACCCATGGAATTTATTGAGACATAATACCCCTATGTTACCTATACACTATATATACTGATTACAACATTACAACAGATAATGTCCATAAGCAAACACAAGTGTATAGCCTTGTAAGAAAATCGGCCTGTCTCAAAATGATAAAAATTTATAAGAGCAACATGAAAGGCCAAATGTTTTTGTATACAAAACAAATGGAGTATATTTATTAGCTGCGGTATTTTAGACAGAATAAAAAACTATCTAAATATGCTGAGTAATAACATACCTCAATTTCGGGACGCCAACTTCAGTGCAATCCAAAATAATTGATTTTTTATCGCTGTGAAATAGCTTTGAGCCTCAAACCACGTTGAATAATGAATATAAACTTCGAAAAATGCTTGTTTATGAGCCCGTAATGATTGTGATAAAAAACCTGCGGTAATACGCCGAAAACTACTATTGTATAATCACAGATCAAGATAATCACAGATAATCGCTGGACCCGTTACGCACGTTATCAACAATATAGTATTGTAATTATCAACCGTTGTCAGCAATGCATAATAGACCTTTCCTTAGAACCACCTTAAATGGAATGGGTTTTAAGTTTGTTTCTCGCGTGCTATGGTCAGAGGAGCAGAACATCGTTCTTCAACACATGCATAAAAATAATTTCGGATTTTGACTATTAAATGTGGAATTAGTGGAAATAACCTTAAACACGGAAACGACGCCTCGTTTTCGTATTTACGGTTATTTCCACATTTAATAGTCAAAAACCAAAATTCTTTTTTATGCATGTGTTGACGAAGGATGTTGTGCTCCTCTGACCATGGCCCCTGGAAAACAAACTTAAAATCCATCAACCTCGTCCCTAGGACCTTCCATTCCATTAAGGTGGTTCTAAGTTGAAAACAGTGTTAGTCGTGTCGTAAGCACGACTAACACTGACAAAAGCACAAGTACAGTACTCAGACATTTCAACTCTCCGGATTTTACCGGGAGTCTCCCGAAAATTCATGCAATCTCCTGGTCTCCCGATTTATATCAAATTCTCCCGATTTTTTAGAATATTCAGGAAATGTCGTTAAAAATCATAAACATACTCTTTTTAGCAACATAATAGCCTATCTTGACCTTTTTATGAAGTTACTATATGGCAAATTATAGGATCACTTATAACAACATATTCCCAAAAATGCAGGAAACGCCATTTCAGAAGACTTGATTTTTATTATTTTTTCCCAGAAGAACTAGATTTCATTCACTGAACAGTCTCCCTAAATTTTACCTCCAGTAGTTGGAATGTCTGAGTACTAAACATAATATGTTCTATTTCAGTGTACTTACAAGCAAGAGTTGTGGAAACCTGGACAACACAAGATTGAACGTTCCATGGTGTCGACGACAAAAGATACGAGAATCCTTATTCAGTTTACCACCAATTGCAACGCTTTATCCCGACAACTAATAAAAACATACATCGTCATCAACTTGATACTCAAACCAATTAATAAAATGTGATACTTACATTGTTATTCAGAACTATTATATTTAATTAAAATAAAAATTTCACCCTAAAACGTTTGGTATATGTGGGTCATTCTTGTTCTTTGCCAGGCCCAGGGTGAAAAGTTAATGCAATGTGACCACATTTAGTAATTTTTAAATTAAAATTACTTTCGGTAATTTTTTGTCATTTTTGGAAGATTTTTGTAGCAGTAAAATGCAGACATGTGATCAGGAAGTGGTATTTTTACTGATAATCATCTTTATAAATCATAAATCTTAATGTCATTATGTATATAGTAACTTATGCTAAACTGTAAACTATGGCATGTTAAAATTTTATACCTGGGACCGGTTGTATAAAACTCTTAATTAATCACTTTTTTAATCACTATTTTGACATTTTGTAGTTAAATAGTGATTAACTCTCAAATAGGCGCTTCTTATTGGATGACATTTCCACTTAACTATGATTAACTTTAATCACTTTTTTATACAACCGGCCTCTGTATAACAACAGAAGCTAACAGAAGTAGTAAGTTACTTTCAAAATTATGATGAAAAAACTGGCCTCGCGAGTCACACTAACCACTAGGGGATATATAATTGGCTTACAGGGAGGTGGGAAACGGGCGGGTAGGTTTTAATCAATTTTTGCCCGTTCTGGTAATTTTTTGTCACCTGATCATGATCTGGAAATTACCTCTGGAAAAACTGATCACATTGCGGAGTTACATGTAATTGTGGTGGTGCTGCAGCAGCCCCCGTGCTTCATATGCTTATGGGTTCTGCTGAAGTTCTTCAACGTGGAATATTCATAATAATATCATGATTGCGGGTATTCCCTTTGTTCTCGCAGGGCAATTAATAACTAATGCACCTCATTATATTAATTTTTTCTAATCCTACCCGCTTTTACGTCATGTCAGGTAGAATTAGTCCTTATCCTACCCGAAACGACGTCAAAGCGGGTACGATTAGAAAAAATGAATATATCTGAAATCGCCAAAACTAAACAAAGACAAGAAAACAATTATTCCATTTAATTTATACCATTATTTATTGTTCATTGGTTTTTAATGGCCCTGCGAGAACAACGGGAATTCCCGCAATCATGATATTATAAGGTAATAGCATAAAAAGAGGCGAATTAGCTATTGAAAACGTCCCGCCCGATCAGGGTCGTTTACTAAAATTCCCTTGGGCGCCGCTCGATTCGGGTCATTTAGTAAAATTTTACTAAATGACCCTCATCGAGCGGCGTCCAAGGGAATTTTACTAAACGACCCTCATCGGGCGGGACGTTTTAATAGCTAATTCGCCTCTTTTTATGCTATTACCTTATAATCATACTGGCACAGAATCATGTGCAATGAACCAGAATATAGTGCACTGGTGTACACAAACATGTTGGTGTGATTATAAATCATGATCGCAACTTATTTGAGCACTGAGCTCTCCACTTGATGAGTAAAAATCGTCTGGGGTTAAACAGAGTAAAATAATAAAATACAATGGGTGCAATGCAACAAATTAGTGGGTTAACTGGACACATATGGGCCGTCTGCAGATAGGCTGATTAACTGGCATAAGCTAGGGTGAAGTTGTATGCATATGCTAATTAGTTATTTCTTTTCCCAAAATTATTGGCGAGTGGGGGGGGGGGGG